AGCATACCAGAGGCAAAACGGGCCTTAAAGGTAAAGTCTCTCATCAATGTAAAAACTGGTGCTCAGAGAGAAGAAATGCTGTGTGCAAAGTTGCTCAGAGACTAGATGGCAGATTTGGGACTACAGTTCTAGATTCTTGACTATCTTGTCTAAACCTTTCCCATTACCACACGTCCTAATTACCTGGTGGAATCTGCGAGCCATCCTCAATTTTTTCCTTGGACCCTCACTTATCCCAGTACACATTTCTAGCACCCAATGCCAACTCTCTTTAGGGTCCACAGTGACTGGGCGCTGGGGGAGCTTTCCTCTCCAAAGTTACCTGTATTGTCCATTGCATTGGACAAGAGATAAGAGCCTTCAGAACTTAAACTCAGGCCAGTCACTGAATCTGCATGGCCTCTCATGGTGTAAGTCAGCTTGTTTTGGCGCAGGTCCCAGACCTGCAAAAACAAAAAGGTGCTCCCAGAAATCAAATTGGTAATAGCAGAGAAACAGAATTATCCAAGAGTTAATTGCCCAGAGATACTGGTATCCCTTCTTAATCTGGTTCTCTGAGCCAAGTATTATTTTACCACAAAATACAGAATTTCTATCAAAGAGGAAAAAACTCTTGCCTTTCTTAAAAGGTAGTCAAAGTTACTATGTTGACTAGAGATATAAACTAATGAGTGTCATATATCAAGATAAAGTTCTAAACAAAAAATAACAGAATTCAGAAAGGTTATTTTCAAATCATAACAAAATGTATTAGGCATTAAAGAAATAACTAAATAGCATTTAAAATGCTTAAATTGTGATTCTTAGCCACTAAAAAAATTATTAGAACTACATAAAAACAAGTAAACATGACATTTCAAAAAGGCATGTAAAATATGCATAAGGAGACAATATGCAAAAACACATATGCTTAAAATTTTTCATTTAATGTCACAATATATATACACACATAATATGTATATATGTACAAGTATATACATACACATATACGATAGAAAAGCATATTTATTAAAAGAGAATAAATTACAGATTCACTATTGCACATGTAGGAAAGGTAAGACAAACAGCTCAGCTGAAAATAACCTAAATGTCAAACAGGGAAAATAGATGGTTTATTAAGTTATGGCTCACAAGCACACTGCAACACTAGAAGTTCTCACACAGAAGATAGCATGACAGAGTGGCGACTTCTTAGGGTCAGAATGAACCAGTCTCTGTCACTTAGAGTTATGTGTCATTCTGCTACTAACCCTTTCTGAGCCTGTTTCCTGGTCGGTAAAGACAGGGATAACAATATCTACTTTTTATGCTTGTTGTAAGGATTACAAAAGAGAGTGCTTAGCATATGCTTGGCACATGGCAGGCCCTCAATAATTTGTACCTATTATTAAAGAAGTTCCTAAAAATAACTCCGAAGACCAAATGTAAAAATATTTACATAATAAGTTATTTAGCAAAAAAGGAAAATACAAAACAGCATTTATATTTAGATAGACTGCAACTATGTAAAATATATATTCAAGCTGACAGAAATAGTCTGGATGTCATATGGAAAAAGGAGCCATTTTGTTAAGGTCATTGGTATTACACAACATTTCCCTCAAATTTTATTTCATATTGCTATGTAGTTTTTCTAAGTGAATAAAATTTCTGCTGTTTCTTAAAGCAAGATACTTTCCCTCATCCAGAAATGAGTTGGGTGCTACATGCCAGGGCAGACAACTCCATTTTCTCAATCAGTAACTCTTTCATGTGTGGACCCAACACAAACATTACACACACAGACATTTTTGCGTCAAGATGTTTGCTGCCTCAGTAATCAGGAAAGTTTGAAATAGCTGACATTTTGTTCAAACTGTTTGTTACTCCTCCTCTTCAGTGAAGGCACTGTTGAAATCTTTAG